AATGTCACGGATTTACCTCAGAAACTTTCCATGATAAACGTCTGTCCTGTTTTGTTCTGCTTTCCGTATTTCGTCAAACTAGGTGAGATGGCGCCCTGACCCTGTGCAGGCGACGGGTGCCGTGCACAGTTATCGGCGCTGTACCTGCGGCATAGCTGCATGGAGGGAATCTCCACTGAGATCGGTGCGATCCGAACCACCTCTGGGGCCCGAGCCTCCACCATGATCGGTACGATCTGAGCCACCACTGGGGCCTGAACCACCACTGGGGTTGATGTAATTTGAACCACCACTAGGGACTGAACCTCCATTGAAGTCGGTGCGATCTGGGCGCCGTGCAGTTTTGAAAAAAAAGAATCGAGCAATTTTGGTGCTTTGGCCGTATAAAGCAGCGGCACACGCTGACAAGCACATACTGTGGCCCATCCGGCGCCAAAGAAAAACACGCCCCCTCCCGAAAACACATCTTGTTACCTTTCTGTAACCATCAGCTGCTTTGAAGAGTTTGAATCAAACATCAGACAGGATGAAATCAACCCACTAATAACTGCTGGTTAACTTTTGAATGGAAAAGACTGCTCCACACAACACAATTTCCCTGTTTCGTAAAAAAATTATTCAACACGTCATTGTTTGATAACATCATCGTACCTCGGACAACATTGACTGAGGGCCGGTTGACGGCCGCTATATCTGGAAGTCGTGCTCACGATTCCCAGATATGAACGACTCGACAATTACATCCTTGGGTTTGATCGCTGCATGGCTTATGAAATGGCAGTATTTTAATGATTTTATTATGGTGTCATAGATGCCTGGGTAACCTGGGAATAGCTTCCTCGAAATCGTCCGCACACCTTCGCGGGCGTATAGCTAAAAAACTAGAGGGGCTTGTGTCTTAAGAAGGTAGAGCTGTGAACTGCACCGAACGAGCTTCAAGATCGCTATTGCATTTCAAACCACCGTACAACTGTGGGACACTCGCTTTAAAGCACCATTTAATAGGACGACACAGCCCGCCTGCCCCATCCTCTCACGGACAGCTGCCAGATGTCTGTCTCTGCCGAGCCAATAATCGGACGCTGGCTCTGGGGCACGGGTCCACATACCAGCTGACTTCCCAGTGGTCAGGTGTGCAGTGCTCTACTGCAGCGTGTCTCAGCCTTTCAAGGTCCACTTACCCCTGAGGATGGATACAATGATGAGTCTCTCGCACTTAACAGCACAAATCATTGAGCAGAAGCCACGCATATTTGTCCTCTTATTGTGAACAATATCATATAAACACGTGACAAATCAAAAAAAGTGTTCTACACGGTGCTTGTATTCGGACAACACGGATTTAATCACAAAACTGACCTCTCACTATTTCGCTCGTGCTTGAGCGCTCCGTATCAGTGGAGACGCTGTCCCGTTCTTGGCTACTGTAGCAGGCATGTTTACCTCAGACCGTGGGATGCATGGCTGGGTATGTGACATCAACTTCCAATCGGCGCCCACCTGTTGGCGCCGCCTGGACGGCCATCTTTCTGGAGTCAAGCATAATATGGCTACATTGCACCCCCACCCCTTCAGAGATCATCGTTGGGATTTTCCCTCAGGAAGAATTCCCCGTTTGGGAATGTCCGCCTTTTGGACTGAGTTACGGGGATGTCAAGCCAAGGTAAGTCTGAAATGAAGAAAACTCCTGTCGTGGAAGGCAACAAAAAGCGCATCTATAAGAGAAACGATGGGATGTAAAAATACATACCTGAAAGCAAAGGAAAAGCTCTGTCGTCTGTCGCACACTAAGCACTACATGCACAAGTCCCATGGTCGAAAATACAAAGCTTAAGTGCGACAAACTGCATCAGTCCCTTGAGGTCTAGCCTTCGGAGCCAACCGCAGTGAAAGCCCTGCTGCAGCCAGCCGCCCGAGCTCCTCGCTTTCTTCGCACCAAGAGTGTAGCCAGATCTGAAATTTGGGAGACAGAACAATAGTGGGAGCCAAAATGAATCTGGAGGACGGCCTAACTTGGAAATAGTATTTCTAAGTGAAGAAAAACGTCGCAAGACTTGCACTATTTAGGCAAAATTGACGGGACAAAAAATGTGGGAAAATTGAGGGGAAATGTCCTCCAGTCTCCTCTGCAGTGGTTATGTCCATGCTTTACATCGGTCATGGAGCGCGTCAGACGGGGTGGGTCGCCGAGAGATGTCACCCGCATCACCGTCCGCCGCACGAGCTGAGCGATGTGAAGGGCTGGCCCAGAGAGCAGCTCGCTGACAGCCGGGGAAGGAAGCACAGAACCTGAGCCTGGCAGTGGCGAGGAGAGTGGTGTTTGCTTTCTTCGGAGTGCAGTGTAGCCGCTCTGGGCTGGGACGGCGTAAGCCTGCCTCTCACACAAAGGCTACGCCCCCGTGACCAGACCCTCTGTATGAGAAACATGTGCTGGAAGTAAAAGATACCTCTGGGACCAGACCTTTTGAGTGAGGAGCATGTGCTGGAAGTCAAGGCCACCTCTGTGACTAGACCAGCGGAGCGAGAAGCATATGCTGGAAGTCAATGGCAAGGTTCAGCAGCTGGGGCCCAGCCAGCGAGTCGGTGCACGTCAGGATGATGTGGTGAGGACGTGGGGGTTTTCCGACGGCTGGATGACTCCTCGCCTCGCCTCAGCCATTCCTGCGGCTGCTGGCTCCTCCACGACCGCCTGGAAGGGTGTGCTGGCTATAATGAACCTTTGACACCAGCGAACCGACAACCCGCCTGAGCGGCGTGGAGGTACCTGACCAATTACTTCCATAGCGTTAATGCGAGGCATCACAGGTGGCGTACCCAGGTTTTCGTCCAGGAGGGGGGGGGGGGGGGAGTCGGATCAGGCGGGCCACGTAGCCGATGTGAGAGGGGAATGTGCGTGTGGTTAGCATATGTTGGCGTACAACGATGGCTGTTGTGGCTAGATCACATCCCACCCCGGTGTGGAGCCAGGTACCGAAGTTTTCGACCGTTTTGAATTTTGATTCGGTGTCAGCTGATTTCAGGGACTCACCATTGCCGATGGACCTAATAGCATGCGATCAACTGGTATCCTACGGTAGTTTTGTTTTCTTAGGAAAGGAATTGGTTTCCTCGGGATTTTCTTCGTTAAACAAATCGCCACGTATGTCTCATGACCTAACCTGCAGAGCGCGCCATCATGGCTAGGCCAGTCTCGGATGCACTCGGAAGATCTGGGCTGAGCGGGTAGGACGACGGACCTGCGGCAGACTCTCAGCCTCCCTACAAATGTATCACTTTTATAAGCCCAGACATCGCACAGCCATCCTTCCTGCGGAGGCGTACGCTTGCAGCTGTGGTCGCCTTGTATTTGCGATGTTACGAAATCTCGCCATGTTCATCGGACGAGGAGGAAGCACATGAGTTCGTGCTAAACGACGGAAAACAATAAATTTGCATGCATGCGTGTCTACTTATTTAGGATCCCTTTCCCGGCACGCAGGAAGGCCGTTACAGGACACGGACGACCGGATGCCAGGAAGTTCCTTTGTCGCGAAGGTGAGGGCACCTCTGGGTCTGAGGGCCGGAGAGGGATCATTCACCTTCAGGATGCAATCCAGCAGAGAACCAAGTTGCAAGTCGGCAGAGGGCTGCCTCTACAGGCCGACAGATGCCTCTTGCAGGTCGGCAAGGGTACCTTTCTTGCCAAGCAGGGCCCCCTAAATGAGGTTTTAGGGCCCCGCTAGCTTGTTGAAAGCCCATTGTTTTTAAGGGCCCCTGCCATATTTTGAAGGGACCCTGGACTCTGCTTGTAGGCGTGTTACACTTCAGTAGGCCCCTTTACAAATCGACAAAGAGTTCTTCTGGCCAATAGGGGTGCTTTTTTAACCAGTCTCTGCTTGCTAGTAAGAAAGCTTCTGCTAACCTGATGGATATTTCTCACAGGTTAGCAGGGCCATTTTAGAGAGAAGCCGAGCCCACGATGGCATGTTCAGGGGTACCTGTTAGCCTGTTGAACCCACTGTTTGTTTGGAGAAGGCCCATACCGGCCTATGAAGGGGCCCTGTTGGCCTATGGAGAGTTATTCTGCCAGCCTGTAAAAACGCCCCCGCTTGACGGTGAGGACACTGGCGGGTTTTGAACCGGCCTACTGTGGTGATAAGGAGCCGTGTTTGGCAACAAAAATCCTCCTTCCGAAGCGACGGGTGGCCTTCACAGGCTGGTAACCGCATCATTATGGACGTGCAGGAGCTCCTTCACACTCCAGCGCGGTACTTCAACAAGCCGGCGGGAGTTCTTCTCGTGGCCAGCAAGGCCAGCACGGGACTGCAGGACTTTATAACAAGCCGGGAAGAGGTCTTCCCGAAGGTATACTGAGGCCATTAATAGGCCGGTAGGGGACTCTTTAAGGGATCAAGCGAATAGCACACGTTAAGTAAGCTTTCTTGTACATTTGACCCATGTTTGTTATCTAAAAAGTATTCTTAATTTGTTCTAGCACTGTTTCGGGGAATGTGAAGCGATGTATGTCCGTTTTACATGATCAAAATAGTGGGGACTTCGGCCCCGTCCTCTGGGGGCCCACTGGTCCCTTTGGCTCCCGAGGGACTGCTTTGACGCCAGAGGGGCCTGTTTGGCTCCCAGTAAGGGGAGGGATATGACCCCCATTGACCCCGCCCCCTGACTGCGCCACTGAAGATCACTGCCCGAAGCTTCGACGACGAACAACTGCAGGCCCGAATGAGGCGCATGTCTCTAGATGTCCGACTTATTCTAAAATTCGTGAAAACTTGGCAAGCCTGCTTTGCCGGTGATTTTGTAGAAAGGTGTTTGTTTCGGTTGGTCTAATATATCCGCTCCTTTGTATACAACATTGCTATCAAGTTTCATTAGCAGCAAGCCAGAGAAATAGCCCGGTAATGTTGAAATTAGGAGCTCATATTTAAAATCGTCCAAATGTGTATTGCTTTGCACGCATTGCGTACCACGTTTCAAGTCAATCTTCCCAACCATCAGCCACTTACCTGATGGTAATTGTTACCGGGCATGCCTGTTTTTTGCACACGTGCCCACGGCAATGTCCGTTGCACCTTGCCAACGTCTAGCTGCTCGGTTCTTGTGCGTATCATGCCACAACAGGCATATCTCGCTTCTTGACGCCATCATGTAGGTACCTGAGGCGATGGACATTCGTATCACGTCGTGACTGCAGCACCAGCGAAAGAGTCCGTCACACGGTGGGCGGCACAACTTTGAATAGCGTGCGCATTTCATAAAGCTAGTAGCTGAGGCAGAACGAGGTTGCATCATTGTAAATAGCATCGACAGATCTATCGAAACGACGATCTCACCCATTTCTGTTGGACACTTTCACAATTCTGCATGCAATGCGCACAGCATCAATTCGTTTCGAACAGTTTCGTAGGTTTTGAAAAGCTCCTATTGAGCACGAGGTGGGCGTAACTAGCTTGCGCCTGCCGGAGTGGGACGTGCGAGTAACTGGCTTGTGCCTGCTGGAGTGGGACGTGCGAGTAACTGGCTTGTGCCTGCTGGAGTGGGACGTGCGAGTAACTGGCTTGTGCCTGCTGGAGTCGGACGTGCGAGTAACTGGCTGGTGCCTGCTGGAGTGGGACGTGCGAGTAACTAGCTTGTGCCTGCTGGAGTGGGACGTGCGAGTAACTGGCTGGTGCCTGCTGGAGTGGGACGTGCGAGTAAACAGATGGCTCTCTGGTCACAGTCCTGAAGGTATCTTCAATTGGCAGACGGCGGCGACAATCACGCGATAATACTACATTATTTACAGACACTGTCAATTTAAGTTGGCTCCGAATTGGCTCAAACGTAGCCAATTTTAAAAAGCAAGGCACACCCGCTGCCATCTGTAAGGTCACCAGCACCGCATTCGGGCGTAAATTAAACATTACACGTATGTGCTAGCGTGTTAGATTAGACACGTACGAAACGGGTTCCAGGGTCTTCAACTGAAAAAGGCTCAGATTTCTCATTTGATATAGGTATTCGCTGGAAATCCTCCAAGACGGTCTGCGTTCTCTCAAATACCCTCCGCACGCCCCCCTCTCCCCAGCCATCTCTGACGCAGTCAAACTCACCGTTTTCCTGCTATGACGACTGTGCTCTTCGGGACGATGGGTTTTCTCCAGTCGTGGTGTCGGTGGTGAGCGTCTGGCTCGCTGCCATCCGCACCGCTGCTGGATCTCTGAAACCCCAGTCAGCGCTCCGCGTAATAACGCGTCATCGCCGGTTACCGCTTATTTGCTTATTCAGCGGGTGGCAGCATCAGGGAGCGGCGATCAACCGTCAGCCATGTTGTCTGGCAACCACGGCTTTTGTATTAGAGCACGCTGCTGTTCGATATATATATATATATATATATAATATATATATATATATATATATAAATGTCTCATCTCCTTTATTTACAGCAAATGTCAGCGGCGGGAGGGAATATGCATAGATGTTAAGCTTTTAATTAAAGCTTGTTGAACCACTGCCGCCATTATGTTAGTGAGTATGACAATGAAATGTCTCATATTTTCCTAGAATGTTAGCTCTAATGTGAAAATGTTTCAGGAAACTATCCACCCAAACCCTGCTCTTTTACGTCGGTAAAGTCTGCCCGAGTTCGGTATGCGAATGGAGATGGTAATAACTAACAGAAGCGCAAGGCATTAATATCAGGTATGTAGCAATCCTTGAAGCATCTACCCAACATTTTGGACACGTATTACTCACATCCGTCATTCTCCTGAAGTCTATACCCAACGTGACTGGTTGTCGATCCCACATGCGCGTACCGTGGTCCTCAGGGGTACCCGACCCGTGGAGTCCTCTACTTTGCATCAGGCGTGGGAAAACAGCGACGCCACAGGGGACGACGGAGGTGAGGAGCCTCAACTCAACGTTTTCGGGACCATTACAACTATGACGTTGCATGGAGCATTACGGGAAGTACCGTCGTCGTGACTGGGACTTCACGACGCACTCAGCTCCTGAAGCTGTATATGGTCACTTTCACACTTGTATATGGCCTTTCACCCCGGCAGGAAGGGTGGGCACCGCGGGAAAACACACCCCGCACCCGGGAGCTACCACCTTTGAAGGCTGTCACAAAACACCCTGAAACAAATGCTCGAACTATGCATCATTTTATATGACACCAGAAAGTGTAGCCTGTTCTCTCAGATCACGCAAAGCACACCGAAAGTAATCTTTCATTTTAACTTAGTTAACTTAATTCTTACGTAAAAATCTCGTCGAGAGTGCGATAAGTTTTTCACTTCCTGTATGGCGGCGAGGATGTCGTCCAGGGGGAGGGGGCAAGGTGAGACAATTCGGCACATAGGCGATCTTTCAGCCGAGGAAGCTCCACTTCATCGTGATTAGAGCTTCTTGGAGGCATGGCCCTAAAAGCTCCTCCTGCCTATGCCCCTGTTAAGTGACATGTGCACATATGAGACAAGAAACAAAACAAGCTTCATGAAATGCTGTACTATCCTCGCAGAAGCGAAGCGTTTCAAGGAACATCAGACGGAAGTGATTCGTGAACCAATGTGAAATGGCACCTCAAGTTCAGATGAAGCATCGGTCTGCTGTCAGGCAGTGCATATGCATCAAGACACGCATGTTCGTAGCGATACATGTGCGCATCAAATTTTGCAGCAAGAATGCAATTTCCTACGCCAAATTTTGCTTGTGAAAGATCTATGACACGTGCAATCTGATACTCTCACTTAAGAAGCATGACCTTCAAGCAAAAAAGCCAACAACACACGCATGTATGTAGGCATCTATCCATCTATCTATGTATCTACCTATCTAGCTATATATATATATATATATATATATATATATATATACATCATGTGTGTGTGTGTGTTTGTGCTTGGTGTTTGTGTATGCGTATTTTGGAAGTAGATTGCTTGATAAATACTGGTCGTCGAAAGAACAGCGGCTTCGTTGTCTAACATAATCTTCCGAGATATATTTTCGATCTTGCGGATTAAGTGCTTACATTCTGGGCTGTGCCTGATTAGGACAGGAGTGAAAGTCATTGCTCATTGGAAGAATCCAAGTGGACAGCATTCTTGTCACGTTCCTCATATCCCGTCGGCATTTTGTCCTTTCTTGTCATTTTCAAAGAGACATAACTTAAATCACATTCATCACGCAGAATAATATTAGACAACACCCACTATGGCTTGTGAGTAACTAATAGACTTACAGAAGAGTCCAGTCTACACAATGTAGCTTTGAGCCTAATTACAAAACGTCAGCGTAATTTTTCCATTCATTTTTCACGCATACGCGATGCACCTAGGCGTCCATGGGGAGCTATTTTAAAGCCAAAAGCATGAAAACTGGTGTCAGATAGCTAAATTGCTTAACGAAAAGTCTTCATGTATTTGGAGTACACTTTGATTATTTCCAGTACACTATCATGCTAGGTCTTATCCGTGGGCCTAACCTCTTTCGTAAAGGGCTAGGGTTCCCTCCGCCTTGACTTGTCTGTTCATAGTCGAGTCCAGGCCGCGTATGTATGCAGTCTCGAGTACATATAGCCGTCTCATATCGTGGCATTCGTCTACGATGTTGGTGGTATCTACCATTTGTTACCTGGTAGGTTGCTGATCATGGTGGAATTCCGTAAGATATTTTTGGATCACCGCTTTGGATATGCATTGTGATGCGTCTTACTGAGTGAGGGAGTCGTCAATCCAGTGTAGTTGCAGCTCGGGCGTAGTGCACAGCCACTGACAGGACACTTGAAGGGAGCGTGTCGTGGGATTTTGGTAAGAGATAAATAGCCTCAGCTGTTCCCCTGGGAACGCTGACTTACGGCGCGCCCTTCGCGATTGATCACGTGATCTTTTTATCGGCCTTGTAGGCCTGAGGCATACGCTATTCTTGCTGAGTGCGTGGCGTAGTACTCCATACATTACAGTTCAAAGGCTGTACGACAATAATAACATGCCTCAGGCCTACGAGGCAGATGAAAAGGTCATGCGATCAACCGCCAGGAGACACACACTGTAAGCCAGCGCCCCCCAGGGACATACTAAGGCTAATGCATTTATACCAAAATCCCCAGAACACGTTTCTTACGAAAAACCTCGACTTGTGATACACCTCCATGGGCGTAGGAACAGGGGGGGGGGTAACGGGGGGGGGGGGGGGGGAAATTCATATTAAGGTGTGCATATTTGGCGCTTACTTTGTCCACTGCATTAAACGTGCATGCCAATTTACCTAGTTCACCGGCCATCTCCATGAAGATGCGTCATCTTTTTCGTTTGCTCACTGGTCATCACTTAGTGTTACAGCCGCAAGACCGGCGCCGCACGGCCTGGAGACTTCAACGCCGGGCGTCGAGCCTGTTATTGCTATGACTTGCTAGCATGCATGTTCAACACCATATTACATAGCTTTCTTATCAGTTATCAGCTCTGACAGGATATTAAACATTATAAGACGATCATGGGCTAGTCTAATGATGAACCCCATTTCATCTGCAATCTACAGTCAGGGAGAACTCAATATCTCCGAACAACGCAGAAAAACATGGAACTGGGGTCTATGTGAAAACTATCGGACTGTCTGCGGTGATCAGGGATGTTGTTGCGCGTTGCGTTGCATTGGAGACGTCAATGAGGGTCCCTGTGCTGATCCGGGGATCAGCGCGGATCAGAAGACCTCCCGCATCATGGATGGGAACAATGTGATATGATATATCCTTCTAATGACCTCCGGATCGACCAGGAGATCCCGCCCCGTGCCACCAGAATGATAGCAAGAAGACACTTCACGATGGGACGGGATGGCCGTTCAGCCCTTGACCGGAAACGGTAATGTACTCCTGGTGTTCTACTCAAGAGGCCCCTTGCCCGGAAGGGAATAAGGGGTCTCGTTATTGTTGAGTAGAGTGGGGCTCTCATTATTGTTGAAAAGCACGGGTCGAAAAGAGTAAAAAAAGAGCAAGGTCATGCCATGTTTGCCTGATAACGTCCATTTCTTTCATAACGTATTTCTGAAACAAATTATATCAAAAAGCTTGAACATGCCCGCCCGCCACCTCGAGAGCAAGGATAAGGATGGTCTGGGTTGCAACTTCCGTAAAACCCTTAAGTTTTGGCCACTGCAAGTGCCACCAGACGGCGGGCGCCGTGTTAATCTGTCTTCTGGACAGATAAATACCTGCGGAAACACGAAAAATAGAGATTTTGCATTCACTCTTCCAGTTCAACCACCAGATTCCAGCCCTACTTCGCGGTGCTTTAGAGGCCAATCCGTTCTTTTTATCAATCTTAAAATTGCATACGTGAAATATGCCCTCAGACTGCCTTCTAAATGCAATATCTGATTTCATAAAGCGCCCAAGGATACTTTCTTAGAAGCGTCGTCATTTTCGTTCACCCGTTGGCCACAACTTAATATTAGCTGCTAGGCCGACGCTCCGCGGCCTATGGAAACTGCAACGCCTGGGGTCGAGGCTTGTGTTTCCAAAATTTTCGAGGTGCGCATGCTCAAAATTACGCCACATGACTTGTACAACTAATTGACTTAAGTGTTTTAAGGCAATCATTTCAGAAGCATCATCATTTTCGTCCACCGGTGGGCCACGGCTAAATGTAATCTGCTGGGCTGACGCTCCGCGGATAATGGAGACTGCAACGCCTGGTGTCGAGGTTTTGTTGCTAAGATTTACGAGCGAGCATGTTAAAAAATACGTTACATGAATTGTATCACCAGTCGATTCTGACTGAATGGTGAACATTTTCATACAAGCATCGTTTGGCCATGTTAATACACCTTGTTGACCCCTCCATTTGCAATCAAATTTTCGTCTTCAAATTTGGATCAAACATATCGACCTGCAACCTACCTTCGCGATGTCCTCAATGTCTGTATAACCCAGATAACAGATTGATAAAGTTTCTGAATTCTATCGGTTTAGGAAGAGCCAGCTAACCATTGTAAATTAAGAGCACCATTGATTTCTTCCATGCAGTCATTCAACGCCTGATTTCTAGAGCTTATTTGCCGCAAAATGCAAACAGAATTGAGCTTACGGTAGCCTGGCTACAAGGTAAAAATGACAATAAAACAAAGAAAACCGTGTCACTTGTTAACAAGTAAGCTACATCCGGGGATTTTTTTTGGGGGGGGGGAGAGGTCAACATAAGGTGGGCTTTTGTCAACCCTGTGTTCCCCCATGGCAAGGCTTTGGCTACGCCTCCGCCTACACACAAAAGTAGATCAAGTCGCGTACGTTGCATGATGAGCAATGAAGTGTCCGTTGGGTCAATCC